CCTAATATTTGTGCCTGATATTTAGATAGTTTAGATAATTTCACCTCTTCGCGTACAATATATTGCGGATGTTAAACAAACGAAACACGATAGGCTCATTCTCCTATTTGGTTTTATTTAAACATGAACAATCCATCCAAAGGTCGACACTATGTAAATAGGTCTTATGCCCGTGTGTGATCTGACGTCAATACACGTCAGTACGTGACAGTGATCGTCATTAATGAATAAAGTCGTGTGTACTTACCTGTCGTGTTTGCAGACGTGCTCTGGTCGTGATCCAATTAAGCAAGGGTTGCCACTTATTTTATTTGTGACACACTTGTCGATTGAAAATCTGTCCTTTAAGAGTCAAACTAGCAAATCCCAAAAAAATTATACATAAAATAACAATAAACGATTGACTTATCACGGGTCAATGGTGATATGAAGTGAAATCACCATTCGTGGAAGAATGGCATAAGTGGAGTTACGTAAAACATGTTTATATCTCCATTAGATACAGAAAAATATAACCCACATCCTTTCCAATTCTTGTAACACTATCTACAATATTAATCCATAGAATTACAAAAATTGGACAGGATATGAGTTATATTTTTCTGTATCTAATGGAGCAATAAACGTTTTTGACGTAACCTCACTTATGCCATTCTTCCATGAGGGGTGCGTGAAGTTTTATTTGCTTTAAAACATAGTGAACGAAATATTGGACATAGTATTATAAGTAAATAGATGGTTATTCTGTAAATAACATAAGTTTTGTAGATAACATGGTGCTGCTGAGTCCTCCAATCAGGGCCTTAAAGTGTTGTTAAATGCATGCGAAAGATTTGCTGCAGTGTATGGGGTTAGATACAATCTTAAAAAGAGTGAACTGTTGGTGTTGGAATCAGGTACCAAAACCTATTAAGCTCCACCAATCACTCTAAACGGTAATGAAAGTGACTATTTTCAAATATCTGACTCATCGTATCATATAACACAGTTGTATTTACCTACTAACACTATGGACATGTAACCTGTACCTATTGTCAGAACACATATTTTTTACTGATTAGGCATGCAAAATTTTACGTAAGTTTAATTGAATTATTATGCTGGCTTCACACGGCCGCCACGCGAGCTCGAGTCAACGCGCCATTGGAAGAATATCACCCGTGCCGGCGCGGCGCAGGCTTGCATTGCAGGTACCAGGCTTTAGTTATTTACTTTGGAGTCAGAGTAACGTATCTGATGTTGTCTAATATTTATTTCTTTTTTATTACACATTAAGCAGCAGTTTCTTGTCATTATTTATTTTATATCTCTTTCCATACCACTCCCGCCCACAAAACTTAAGACCAAAAATACAGCTTGCCAAGCCCATATGTAAAATTGAAATGTTTCGAAGTGGCCCTTTAGCAATGTTGGTGAAAATTTATAATAATTTACCAAATAATATTAAAGAAGAACGAAATGCAATCAAATTTAAAAAAACGTTAAAAGAGTACCTCATTAAAAAATGTTTCTATTCGCTTCAGGAACATGTAAATAATTAATGTAGATTATTATTTTATCTGTGTTGACGATTGTGATCCTTTTTTTTTCCAATTTTTATTTAAAGTTTATTATTTGACAAAATTTAATCAATTTTCGTATACCTAATTTAATTTTAATTTTATAACTTATTTAATTTGTCAAATTTGCCAAATTTTATTGTATTTAATTATTTTGTAATTTAAATTTTATTTCAATTCTATAAGGATCAATGTTATAAAATTATTTGCTTGTTAATAAATTAATATAATTTTAAGATTGCAGTGCCCTTGCAGGGTTCATGTTTTGGTTCATCACAACATTATTTTTAACAACTACATTTGTACAACATGATACGCAATACAGAATTTGAATTTGAATTTATAAATTAATTTGACTTTAAACCGTACCTGGCCATACACTAAGTCTATTTCTGGATAAATTAGGACACTTTAATTTTGTTTATTATTTTTAATCAATCTATTTGGGTCATTTGTAGTTGTACTATGTACATTAGGGTGTTTCATTTTATTAGGCAAAAAGTAAAATGTAAAATTTTTGCAGACTTTGCTTATGTCCCGAATCTCAGTGATGTAAAAATATAATATGCCAAATTTCAAGAAAATTGGATAATATTTAGAGGTTGCACATTTTTATCATTTTTGTAAAAGTAGGCAAAAAAAAAGATTATTTAATGTTAATTATTTTTATAGAGAAAACTACAAATCACGAACTCAAAATTGTATTAACACTACACGCTAAGATTAATAGGTAGTGTGGTACGCAAAAGATGTGTTATATAATAAATGAATCAACTTTTTTATGTGATACCTAATGACGGAATTAACAAGTCGTGCGCCTGCTGGTAAGCGACACGCCTGTGTGTTAGAATTACAACACCACTCAGAGCTTTAAAACACAAAGATCTGAGGGGCACTAACACTGCGCCGGTCACTCTGATACATGGGTTGACAAGTCCCACGTATTCGTAATTTCACTTTGAACGATATAATCCATTGTAATGTTCACTTTGTGACGACTTTTTTGTGATATTCTACTACCCTCAAGAATAATTTTGTTTTTGTTATTATATATTACAGCCATTCCTCTTTCTGTGGTACCATTGACCACGTTAATAGCGTTCACTTGGCTACTTGGCTTCTTCAAATTTTTTAACTATATTTTCCTGAACAATCTGAATAATACGCTCGACCAAACCAACCAATCTTACGTTTATTTCTGTCAGGAGAAAGTCTCTTAGCAATTGTTTTTTGAAGTCTTCAGAAGTTGTAGAATACACAAAACATTCTTTGGAGACTATCGACCTACAATCGCGTCGTACCAAAAATGAACGTATATGAAGGCTGACAAAATATGCAACTCATATCATTGTCTTCAATTCTCGTTGAAGTATATTGAACTGTTTCGTGAAGAGGACAATTTTAAGTGCATATATTACCTTTGCCGTCCATATTGCTTGATGCAGACTCCCTGAAACTCTAAAAGTGAAGTCGTTTCTAGACCAACCTCCTATGTGCACGAGTAAGAGTTGTAATAACTCTTTGTAGTCTTCTCGTGGATGGTTATCGTTGTTTAGAACATTTTGGGTTGACGACCTCCGCGGTCGAGGGGCTTGCAGACCATTTTTCATGGTGTCGCCGGGAGGTGCCGGGTACATTTCTATATTTTCTCGGATCTGGGTGTTTGTGGCAGCGCCATAGTTTCCAATTTTCATAACATAAATGCTTTTGTTACCTACTTTGGGATCAGAGCGACGTATGTGATATTGTCTGATGTAGTCCAATCCTGTTCCTTTGCGGAGTCCGAGATCCTAAAAACTTACTCCAAGGTACCTTTTCTTGTAGCCTAATTCCTACTATGGTTCCCACTTTATTAATCACAATTAACTACAAAAATTAAAGAAATACACGAAAAGCTCTATAGTGCAAAGCACTTAAATAGGGTAATACCGGGTTAGATGGACATAGGGGGCAGATGGCTAATCGCAATATTTCAATGATCCGCTAACGAGATGGCGATAGTTATTGCTCAGTTCGCATCGTATCATGTCTAAGTACAAGTGTACGGCGAATATGCTGAGCAAAAAAAAAGAAAAAGTAAGTAAAAACCTTATTAATTGTTTTGACTAATGCTTAAATTTTTTAGAGGGTTCATGAGGGTTCATCATTCACACTACAATGAAGTTATTTTTTCGAAATATGTATCATTTTTGTATTTATCGCTTAGTCCACATCCAATGCTTTGTTATAAGCTCAAAATTTTACTTGTCACGTTTATTCTTGTTTAAATTTTACGTGTGGCCACCTCTCCCGGAATATTAAGAAAGATGGCCAATTAAAATCGGTGTAAGATGGCCATGTGACCAACTTATACCGATCACACAAAGATCTAAAATATTAATAAAATAATTTATTTATTTTCGAACTTCTTTTAGATGCATACTAAATACAAAAGAAAGGTAGCCACATTGAGAGGGAATTGCACTGAAAAATCATTAAAAGCAGCTATTAATGCTTAGGAAATGTCCAAATACTTTTAAAGGGCCCGAAACTTTGGTTTGTTTGAAAAACAAATGTACTCGATTTAAATCCGAATAAATGGTTTCATATTTCATAAGTGTATAATAATCGCGAAAACCCAAGAACTCATAGCTATTAAAGCTGCTGCTGTGAACCCGCCTCATCGAAGACTGGCTCCATTGCGTCGTTTGCCACTATTTGGGTTCAAGAAAACTGAGAATTTGACGACATGAAGAAAAAAGAAGACTTAAAAAAACAAAACACCAAGTAAAAGATCTCTATAAGTCTAGAAATAATTACTGGCCATCTTACCCCTATGGGTGAGATATAGGACTATTCCTAAAGTCATCACACCGGACACCTCGGACGAGATGGCCAATCGTATTTTTTTTTAAACTAATTTTAAGGTTGGTGTCAAGACAATTTGTACTATTTTCTGTTAAATAATTAATAGTTAATTCTTCAAAGTTTAACAAGAAATAAATATTTGCAATGTAATATCTAAAATTGTATTTTCGACAGCGTTTAGAAAAAACTATGGCCATCTACCCCGGTTTTACCCTATTAGAAATTACGCTAGTACGAGATAAAAGTGATCAAAGTGTGTAACCCCTTAATATTTTCCAATCGTCTTGAAATTCTGCATACATATATATTTTATACAACACTGTAATGTACCACGCCAGCATATCAAGCTACACATTGACGTATCTTGTTCCGTTGCACTGGAGGCGATTTTCGAACAAAAATGTGTAGTCTGGTGCGCCGTTGTCCATACAACTGTATTTTTTTAAAGTTTCGGTTATAATTTATTATTATATGTGTTCGACTATGATTTCTTCTTAGGGAATACCTATACCCAGTATGGACCTATGTAGTATGATAATAAATGTACAGAAACGCGGCAAAGTACTGAAAATAACTGTTGTATTTCATTTGGGCGTAATGTTAAAGCCGTACACAGGTGCTAAACTGGTAAGTCGTCGCCATTCAGTCTGTTGATATCTGAAAAAGTAAAACAAGATTCGAAGTACCAAGGCATAGTAATGGAATCTTAAAACACACAATAAGAGCGCGTGTCCACGCTAAGAAAAGTCGCCGGGTCTATGCAAGAATTTGTGTCGTGCCTGCGACGACACGCTTTGCCACTATCGTATGGAGCGGGGTGAGGTGCATTGTCAGTAAACAAACGTTTACACGCGTGGACGGGTGTTGCTTAGTAGTCAACATAATGCAACAACAAAGTTCTTCCCACAGCCGGTAGTAAAACCACAGTTACCCAAAGGAGACTCGCAATGCACTGACACATTTTACCCTACAAACGTTTGTCCGAAATTATTCATACTGAGTACATACTCATCATTTTCTCGTCTACAACAGACACGACATGTTTGCGTGGCTAAAGTTATTGTCGTGTACAAGACCATTCTCATATTTTCTGTAGTAGACACGACGAATTTCTTAACGTGTACACGAGCCCTAAAGAAAGGCGAAAACTGTCACATTTTGGTAAATGTCATAATTACTATTTCCAGCCATGTTAAATTTTGGAATAGCGGGGTTTATACGGACACTATCACGCGTGATACAGCAATCGTGCTGGATTGAGCGCTCGTGTAAAGACCTCGGAAGAACCAACACGCACCAGCGCGCGATCTATCTCTATTCTCTAGATCTCGCTATTAGCCTTTACATGGACTCTGTTTCCGTTGTAACAAAAACGAACACGAGCAAACGCGCGAAAGATCGTTAGCTTAATTATTGTAACTTTTTCATTGGAAAAAAACCGACTTCAAAAGTTTGCTTATCGGGTTTTTTCGATTTCCATGGGATCCTCTTATCAGATTCTGACTTCTTGGTGACAATGAAACTGTTACGGACACCTTTGTACATTTTACATTTTCTCTTCTGGTTGTCATAGTCACGGTGATTTATTGATTATACTCGTAAATGTATTGTGTCAAGTGGAAAGTCGGCTTTTATTAGCGGAAAATAATTAGTAATTTGTGATAGCCGAAACGAACCCTGAACGGCATCAAGGACCGCCTCGAGAGTATACCCTTTCAAACAAAAAAGAATTGTCAAAATCGGTCCACAATTGACGGAGAGAAATTGGTGAGAACACTGACATACCTATAAAATTTCAGGACTTTCCTCCATTTTCATGGGATCCCCTCATCAGATCCTGACTTGGTGTCAATGGGACCACCACGAGAGTGCACCCTTTCAAACAAAAAAAGAATTTTTAAAATCTGTCCACAATTGACGGAGATATCTGAAAATATATATAAAACATACGTACAGCCGAATATAATATAATATAATAAAAAAAATATATAAATAATATAATATAAGTATAACCTCCTGCGTTTTTTTGAAACGGTTAAAAATTCAAACTGGTAATCCCACATAATTGCGCGTGCAGGCTTTCCCGCGCGCTAGCGACTGTATAAAGGGGCTACTTGCCTATTCCGAGATTGAACTGAGCTCGGCTTAATGGCAGAGACGAATTATGTGTCCAGTGGACAAAATAATGTCTGATTACGTATAAAGATGTACTTACTTTTATCTGTCTTTCTGGTTGAATGCACTGAGGGGAAACGAGAAGCCGATTGTAGCGATGACCTTGCCTCGACGTGGGCAGTTTGCTTGATTTCCTATAAAAATGATTAACGAAAGGTCATTTGAAGCTTTCCGAGTTATTTTTAAAGTAAGGTAATTAGATAAACAGTTGGTTGAAACGGCGCATGTGACATTTAGTCAAGAAATTTGTTATGTATATTGCTGTGACAGAAAAATAACCCGATGTGTCACTATTTTTATTATCCTAAGTGAATAAGACATGAAGTTACTGATAGAGAAAAACAGATATATTTTTCAAGTTCATTTCTATAAACGTTATTTTCTCGGTTTTGAATTTTGCCACAAGCGCCTTTTCAATAGCGGCAGATATCTTAAAACATAGCTAATTTTGTTAAACTACTAATACATAATATGGTAAACCTTCGCTAGACTGTACGAGCGCGGTTTGATAAGTCCGTGAATTAAAAAAAAAAAAACCTTTTTTTTTATTATGGTTTATTTTTCTACGTAATCCGCTTTCAACAACGCCATGATATCGCAATATTCTAACTTCTTCAACCCATAAAAAAAATCATTTTGCCAAACTGAAAATTAAGCCTCCTTTTCAGCTATAGTTTTCTTTTATAATACCAAAATGACGGAACGGACAAGTGCACGACTGGTCAGAGACACGCCTATCCATAACAGTTGCAGTTGCTTGCTAAAAATTTCAAAGCTCTTAGGGGCATTGCCACTGCGCCCGTCACCCTGAGACATAAGTTGACAAGTCTCATGTGCCTGTAGGATCAACAGCACCCTTCCAAACCGGAACGCAGTAATGTTCACTTTACAGCTTGGCGGCAGAAATAGGTAGGTTCCCTGGACGAACTCTTTCACAAGAGCTTCACTGCTACTAAATCTTCTTCACTTGATGACTTCACACACTTCACATTTAATGCAAATTGATAAAAAAATCGGATAAAAAAACGCCTAAACTGTTGAATGCGGGTGATGTAAATCGAGACAAGATTTGATTTTCTGATTGCAGATGAGAAACGGAATGCTCGAAATACCGTTTTCATCATCTCTTCAAAAATATATCGATCTTATCCATTGACTTACAAATAAATGGACGACGGGTCTAATACAAAAACCACGAAAAAAATGTCCCAAGTCAACCTATTCGAAATTTAAATTGTAATGTCATCGCAGTATCGCGCTGTCAGTCGAACAAATGAAGACTAAAGCGGAGTTTGGCGCTCTGTATACGATTTTAGCGCCTTACAAGTGCGGACACTTTTTAGCGCGGACCCGACTTCCATATAATTGTAAGTCAATGATCTTATCTAACTGTTTTATTTAAATTTTTCATTATTTTCGCGCCAATCTAGAAAAGTAACATCAGTTGCTTAGTAAGAAGTTCTAAATTAAGAAATAAAAGTAAATTCCGAAAGGAAATTCCGTTTTTATTTACTCTTAAAATCACGTACATATTTATCAAACCGGCCGGCAGCCTCGTTCTCAACAACTTAAAAATTAGTACAAAAAATATATCAGAAACTGACCACAAGCGAACTTCTCATGACGCTGGAATTGAGGCATGTGCTGACGGTGTCTTCTGTATAACACTCGTTGGTGATTTCGAAGCTGCTGCTCTTTGAATGGAAAGCTAAGGTATTATCCAGTCGATCTACCTAAAAACGGCTCATTTCCAAAAAAATAATCTTTGACGTATACTACTTAGGAGGTCAAATTGTAACGAAATTTGGTTTTTTTTTTAAATGGAAAATTGACCTATCAATTCAGACTGAACTTCACATTTCACAAAATGCTCAGATTTATAACTTATTAAAATGGTGTCCCTACCATTTCTATGATCTCAATATCCTCCGAATCGCTGTCCTGGTAGCAATCGTTCTTAACGCCTCCAATTTTGCTCTCTATTGACGACACTGAAGACTCGAAGACTAGTTTCTGATCTGACGCATTCACATCTGACTTTACTTCGCTATCTGAGTCTAATAGCATCTGCAGATGGATGTTTTAAATAAAGTTATTGCTTGTCGTCTCTTGGGAAAGTATTTGGGATATTGTTGTATTTCGAGAATTTTCGAATTTTGCAAATTAAAATTTTATAAACATTAAAGTACTTACAAAATGTTCTTTTAGTTTGTTTATCAGTTTCATAAACAAACTTGACGCTATTGGTTAACATTTATTTTATCACCTCGACTATGTGCTTGCTTCCTCCAACATCGCCAGCGCCATCGTGGTGGTGAATTTCGACTTCAACTTGGTGTTCTTTGGGATCTTCTTGGGTTTTTGATAAATTGACACCAGACTTAAGAATATTGGATTTCGTTTTTGCTGTTATCTACAAACAAAATTATGTTAAAATTATCTTTATTTCAGATATTTATATATATATTTATAACAAAAACAAGACGACCGAAAAGATAGCGGTTTGACGACTTCAATTGTTATTGTCGACTGGACTTTGATGTTCCTAATTGAACGAGAGCTACTGCAGATGACAAGAGTTTTCATGAACAGCCTTCCAAACTTCATTTTGATGATATCGTTACATGATGATCATTATCAATCTGAAGATCATAAACACTCTGCTGCTGATTATAAATATCTATCTATATTTATAATGTCATCTTGAATGTCATGCTCTATGACATTCAAGGATAAAGTTACTCTATTGTAACTGTAGTTTCTTAATTGATAACAGTTTCAACATTATTTTGCAGTTACATATGATAGAAATGAATGTAGCCGCTTCCAGGATCTTTAGCTCTAGTTACTTTGTATGTGGAACAACCATCGGTTTTTAGCAACCCAATGCTTTAACGCCTTAGCCGCCTCGTCATGCGAGTTGTTCATCCCTATAGAAAGAAGAGAAAATGAAACAATCGTCGGTTTTTATTGCACGGTAGAGGGCAATTTGCGCTTTTAAAATAAATCAGTGACCAGATCATTGATGTCCTCAAAAGGCTGGGATCCGAAGTGACGAGAATAAAAGAAGTTGTATGAAAAGGGTAGTTGATTTATGTAAGGATGTAACAGGATAGAGTAAAGTGACATTCTATTGTCTCTGCCTACCTCTCATGTGGGATAATGGCGTGAGCTTATGTATGTAACATAAATCAATCACTCGCTGGCTCCCGTGTTCCATTGACGTTGCTGTATGTATAGTTTATTCTAGCAATAGAGCTCCTAGTGGAAGAGTCCCTCCAAGGAAGTAGTCCCTCCTTACCTATTGCTGCCGCCAAGCAGGAATGTGAGCATTACTGCGTTTTGATTTTGAAGGGTAAGGGTCCTGGTGAAATAACAGGCACGAGAGACTTATCAACTTATGTCTCAGGGTGACGGGCGCAGTGGCAGTGCCCCTCAGATCTTTGTGTTTTAAAGTTCTGAAAGGTTTCGGTTTTCGGAAAGGTGACACTCATTTAAGTTAAAACGTAAAAGCTAAATAAATAGAGAGTATATTGCCATGACAGTTAGACGCATGCGGTCGCTGCGCGGCGGCCACGCGGAGTTCGCTCGGTGACCGCGCGGGGTGAGCGCGACTTGTGCATCCCGTGCTGCCGTCTGTACATTGAATTTAGTATATTCAACATGATCATTATTTCTATTTCATTCTCACCTTGTACGAGTTTATTGAATCATCGTCGTCAGACGAATCGGAATCTCCGATATTTAAACTCCAGCACTTGCAGCAGCTCACAGCCATTAGAACCATCATGCAGTCGGAAGCATGCTGCAAGAATAAAACAATATTCTTACTCAACATCTTGACCTAAGAAACTTGTTATGTGTTGCTATCTTTCGGAATTCCCAAAATCAGAATATCTGGATTGCAGACTGACCACTGCCGTAAATTTGTAAGAAAATGCGAAGAAGTTAGTAGCAGTAGATCTCCTTGTGAAAGAACTCATCCAGGGAAGTAGTACCACTACCTATTTCTGTCGAGTATGTGTACGAGTATAAGATTGAGCTTAGTATAACACATTGCATGAGACCCGTTGACCCTCAGAGCGATGCCACACATCGCAACGTTACGTGGCACTTACGCACCACAGCACCCCTCCTCACTTCGTTTCCTGGCCTCTAGTCCGTGCACGCGTTCCGTCGCCGCGCGCTTTCTCAACACACCATTTTGCACGCAGTATTCATATTTATATATAATAGCATCGCTCTTATGCACCTCGTTAAATAAGAAAGTTGTATACCTGAGCAATTTGCCATATTTTTCGATACTTTGCTGCCAACGGGTGGAGATCATAACAACTAATCGTAAACATTGTATGCTTGTTATGTTTACATTATTAGACCACGAATGTAAGAAACTTTTATATTGGTTTTAAATAATGGAGAAAGAAATGAAACCTTGTCTTTAGTACATTATTTATGAATCTGTGAACCCTATGTGATACATAATTAATATGTTAGCTATATGTCAGATATGTTTCTGTTTATGCCAATGTCCTATGCTTAGACTTGTTTATTTTTTTTCCATCCTAACCTTAGAGGATGGAAATAACACATCGAATTTTCTATGGTTTGTCTATTGGAGGATGAAGGCTCAGTGGCAAGTATCATAGACAACAGAATTTTGATTCAGAACTTTTCGATACTTATACTTCGACTCAGAGCACCTTTTCGATATTTTTTATGAAATTATAATAGATAGACTACAGTACAAGAGTAGAAAAAAACAGTTTTGATCTTAAGACGAGTCACCTGGGAAGCAGGGAAAACTGTTTTGCTAGATGAAACAGCTTGGGTGTATACTATTAAATAACGATCTGATAAAATATGTACGCTATACCTAAGGATTGTCTAAACAATGTACTAATTAATTAAACACGATAGGATGTACTTTACACAATCATATAAAATCCCGATAACAGGCTAAAATATAAGTCTAAATTGAATTAGGAAATGAAACTATTTTTCCGGATTTAAATCGCGTATATTTGTTTTTTCAAACAAACCGACGTTTCGGGCCCTTTACAGGTTCCGTGGTCACGGTTGACTGAGGTGGTACAGTCCTCAACCAGTTATGGCTAATATTAATGCAAACCACCCTATTTTTTCACTATAGTTACAATAGTTATTAATTACATACCTTATTTTTAATTTTACGCTATTTATTTATGCTATTATTTATGTAGCGTAAATTGGAATTCTGGGATGGGCCCGAAACGTCGGTTTGTTTGAAAAAACAAATATACACGATTTAAATCCGGAAAAATAGTTTCATTTCCTATGTGTAACAATCGCGAAACCTAAGAACTAAATTGAATTATAATAATAAATAATATAAATATAAATAAAAGAATTATAATGAATAAAATATCAAACTTTGCACATAATTATCACATGGAGATATTTATTTTTAAATACTACAGAGAACCTGCTTAATTTTGGTTTTCAACTGAAGCCCTACAGTTATTTAATTCACATTTACAACCCAACGGGTGAACAAAACAGCGCGCCGCTCGCTGCCCCGTCATTCGCCATCGGGCGTTTGTCAATCGAGGTTCTGTGTCAAATTTTCTCCGCTTAATCTTATATCATTCATATTACATTACCTCGGCCCCAAACCTGCTAATTTTAAATCACCTCGGTGTGTGTCGATGGCAGGATTATGCACGTTTGGTATTCTATTAAAATTTAAGAGCACTTGCTTCAGCTTGACAGTGGCTATCGAGTTACTTTTCGACTGCCATTGCAATCTACAACCAAATCACGAACCACCATTCTGAAATTTTTAAGTTTATTGAATGTCACGATGTTTGACCACCGTGTTATTCAATTATTTTTGTGAAATTACTCCACTCGTATTCTCTCGATCCGGCTGGATGAGAATCAACCTCTTCCAGAAAATCGTACCAAACGCTATGCCAATTAAGCCACGGAACGAACTAGCGGTCCTTATGAATTTTTATATGTGCTTGTTGCAGAATAGATCTTTGTTTTTGGTTTTTAACATTGACTTACAAATAAATGGACGACGGGTCTAATACAAAAACCACGAAAAAAATGTCCCAAGTCAACCTATTCGAAATTTAAATTGTAATGTCATCGCAGTATCGCGCTGTCAGTCGAACAAATGAAGACTAAAGCGGAGTTTCGCGCTCTGTATACGATTTTAGCGCCTTACAAGTGCGGACACTTTTTAGCGCGGACCCGACGTCCATATAATTGTAAGTCAATGGTTTTTAACGACTTTTTGCCATAACGCCATCAGTGAGAAATCTAAAAATCGCAATTTTGAAGTTTTCGCAAATTTGTAAACGATCTAGTTTAGGTATGTGGTCTATGGATCTAGTTTTATCAATATGTCAAAGACCCTACACGAATTTAATTAAAATTGTTTTCGAACATGAAAAGAAAGATCTTTTATAACGACTCTTATATTATGAATGAACGAAAAGTTTCAATTTTGCCTAAAAAAATTATTTGCGTAACTCGATCCAGAGCCAGAATTTTAAGTTCTATATCTGTAATATAAATAATTCATTTTTATCGTTATACCGCTTTCAGACTTCAGAAAATGGAATATTTCGGAAGTTATTTCACTCTAGTATTTTTATTGTAGCATTCGCTCCTATAAATAATAGCGTATTGGTATTTGGATCGCCTACGCACCACCACGTGCATCCGGGTTGACGAATGAACACAGACTAGAACGTTTCTCGTAGCAAGTTCGTGTTCTGTTGTTCCAGAATTAATTGTCATTTTGATCAACGTCTTGAAGTAGTGGGTAGGTGGATTGCGGTCTTGCATCTGGGGGTCGATTCAGAACCGTACGATAACTCAGTTGTCGACCGATTCGATTTGATATCGTACGATTTATTTTCATTTTGATTCACAACACCCGAATCGAACGTCGAACCGTCGTATTAGAAACCGAACCGAAATGACGTCACTCCCGTAGGATTACTCTAACTTCTCGACCGGCAAAGGCTACAAATTTTATTCAGAACAAGAATTAATATGGAAATCTCTTATTATTTTAAGTAAAGTCTGGATTTTGTTCAATTTTATTAATTTATTTTAATGCAAGTCTAATCCGAACCAAACGTTTAACTGAATAGCTCAGAAAGCGCCCTTCGATTCGAGAATGATATCCAATCGAAGGAGTGATTCGATTAAAATATCGAAGAGTTCTGAATCGGGGTCCTGATGTCGGAGCCGTCAGGGCTTAGAACTGAATCTTCAGACATCGTTTAGGCATATTTAGGAATCATACTATGAGATTACATTTTTTAAGAGTAACACTGTATATTTTAATCACTTTAAAATCGAATAACATCTTGGACTTTTTATTAATTTTAACGATCAAATCAGGTACTAAGCGAAACGTAGGACAGTTTCTGGGTAGCGTGTGTACAACCCGAGAATCCAACTACCACTGTGTCCTCACTCGTCTACCACCACTGTTCCCCGTCAAGGTCTACCGGCAGTGGGAGCGTGTGATACACTCTGTAAATGCAGGTGGCGCCTGTCTCGCAGTTTTTCGTCCGTGCACATTACCGTTTCCGTTATATAGTAGAATATCAGTACAGAGTAAGTACCTCAAAAATTCGTGAAATCATATTTATTTGCCAAGTTTTATTGAAATTGGTCACCGGAAAGTCCGCGAAGCCGGATTCATCATTCAATGAAATTACTACTGAGGTGCCCTCTTTCCAACAAAAAAGAATCATTGCATATGATCGCCTAAAGTACTTACTTACAAAAAAAACTTTTTGAAGTTGGTTTTGAGGTACGGTGAGATACGGTGTGAAAACATTCCAAACATGTTCGTGATAGAAAAATTTACCTCGAAATTTTACTAGAAAACCGCTGTATTCAATAGGTACTTTAGTCATATATACCAATATTTTTTTTTAATATCAACTGAACTAAATAGAACACGTATAGCATATCTCGCGGGCACTCGAAGGCACTCGTGGGCACTCTTGGCACTCTCGGACTCACGCGGGCACTCACAGGTACTCGCAAGCACTCAAAGGTACGCGCGGGCACTCGTGGCTCTCGCGGGTGCTCGCAAGCAATCGGATGTACTTATAGGCACTCATAGGCACTCAAAGGCACTCGCAGCACCTAACTTAAGTAACGACTTGAAAGCATTTCCACTATATGTGGTGGAGTCGCAGCCTTACAATCTGAACAGATTGTTACATTACAGACGAATGCTCTCGGTGAAAGAGGCTACCGAATGTTACAAGTGTTGCGCAACGAACCCTCGGCTCACCGCCTGTAATGCGCGCTTTTGACTGTTACATTACAAGCGAATGTTCGCTGTGAAGGAGCGCCCCGAAACGAAAACTGAACTGAATGAAAGAACCGTAACAAACGCATAGAGAAATTGGTAAGGACTGCTGACTCGATTTGTAGCTCAGTTGGTAAAGCGGTCACCTTGATATAGCACAGACGCAGGTTCGAATACTGCCAAAAACGGACGATGTGATCCCAAAATGGTGAAAATAGTAAAAACTCATTTCATCAGTGTTTTTAAACTATTTGGATACCATCTATTTATGTTTATCATATATTTTTTTGCACCATACATGTTCTCCTTAAAATAATAGTCAATGAAAAATTAAAAGGCTGTCAAAAATATAATTCTCATTACAGTTTTATATATTACACTTAATGGGTGTATCACGCATCAATTAATGAAATTGTCTCCTGTTCACACTTGTTGTTCACACTTTTTCAAGAACTTGTCTCCTGCTACAGTTGAAAAAAATTGTCTCCTGTTTCAAAATCAGTAGCATGCATGTACCAAACATCTGTTGTAATAATAACTGCAAACCAACATGTTCTAAGGTTTTCAAGGTATCAAGGTTTAAACTTATGGTAAAGAAAAGGATTCAACATGGACTAAGGTCACTGGTTAAAGTGCACTGATGTGTCGGACGAAAACGAAACGAAAACGGACGATGTGATCCCAAAGTGGTGAAAATAGTAAAAACTCATTTCATCGTAAAGTTACTTTATTCGTATTAGTTTTTAAAATAAGCGTTAAACATATTACAATAACTTGCGTAAGTAATTGAATAATTAATATAATTTTTAAATAACATCTGTTCATATAACAATCATCGCAAAAAACAAAAATTAAAAAAGTTGATGTTTTTTCAAACATTTTCTGAATTTATAAAGGACTTATATGTTTCGTAATTCAGAACCTACCATTTATAAAGCTTCCTGCGACCTCCATCCTCATCATTCACATGAAAACGGTTCACTTTGCAACATCCGGTAAAGGTCTTTCGCATATGAAAGCGAATTGAGTGTCACACCAAATATCATCTAAAAGACCGCCGCGAACCATTGAACCGCAGCTCTGGTTATTACCATAAAGGTCAAGGTGACCAGAGTTGTCGGGATGGGGCCAATTGTTAGGTTGTCCTTCCTTCCAGCTCGCAAAACCTGCCTCGTGAAGACTTTGCCCTGGAAGACAATATTGTAAATATTATGTCAGAGTGTAAGACCTGATTATCGAGCTAGTTTTCTTTTCTATTATTTTAAATTATATTTGAAATTAATCAAACAAGATTTTTATTTTAACGAACTATTTGTATTTATGCAAGTAGCCAAACTATTAACGCCAGGTAGTTTGTCTGAGCCCGCACCTCCATTTTCCTTTTCCATCCCATCCGTGCTACGCCCAAGCCGCATAAATCGCCAGTGAAATTAAAAATAATTGTGTGTGACGTTGAAAATTCGAACTTAAAAATCCGCATCCGCAACATCGCATTTTTTATAAATTAACTGCCCGCATCTCCGCCTAGCATTAAGCTGTGTACGCAAGTGTTTACATGGTGGCGTTATTGGTGGTCCGCCGCAAGCGAATTGGTGAAGCGCTACGCACGAGCCCTTTGACGTTTCGGACAGTAAAGGTTGGTGGTAACACGGCTTCCCTTTCTTTTACTTGCGAGCCCACGTTTCCAGCAGCTCTCCACGAGCTATCGAAGGTATTTTAAGTTTTTTCATATAGCGTCATCACAAACGTTTCCTTTTTTTTGAACATTTTTAAATGAAGCTGTACTAGTTGATAGTCTTTCGTTCAGTTTTGTCGATAGATTTACCTAATTTTCAATATGGAGAACAATTGGTTTGTAATAGAATTTGGTAAGAAGTATATTTTTTTGTAAATATATCGACAAAACTAAGTAAATATATATATATATTGTTCTTTATTGGTAATTCAAGATAAAAAAAAACCAGTTTCTGCGTAAAATGATTGCATTATCTTTATCGATCAAAGTACCACACTACCTTGGTATTTTCTCGTTCATTCTGATCTGAAACATCAGAAGATGCACATGTAATTCTTTTACATACAAATCTGTGATCAATCGATCGTTTTTCGAGTAAATTAGTAATCTAAAGTCTTCGCATACGTGATAGGTACAGTTATGCAGTGTTACATTGTGGTAGTTACTTGTTATTGTTTATGTACACCAAAACCATAGGAAAAGCAGTTCGTCAACGTGACGACGCCATATTTTTGAAGCCCGCTTAGACGTAAATATTAAGTACTTAGAATTGATCCCAGAATACATCTTGTAATAATATATTCTTTTTCTAAAACATATTCTCTATATTCTTTTTTTAATCTCTAGTCTTTCTATCGTATTGGCTCCTTCTTTCTTCTCCGGCTTCATGCTTCTGCTTAAACGTGATCTCGACTGCGGATTCAGGGGAAGTGGCTAGTTGCCTGAGCATCATTCGGCTTCTCTCGCCATGATGCTATGTAGTAAACATGGACCCATATCAAAGATACACGAGTTTCTTCGATAGTGAAGCTAGTGAAGTGATATGTAATCAAGATGTAGATAGACATTGAAGTAAACAAGTGAAGTTCACAGACACAAACACACAAATCTCCTGGTTAAATTCTAATAGTAATAAGCTATGGTAACGTAAATAACTGTATGTTCTCATGGTAAATTAAATAGTAAGTACTTAAATGTCAGTAGTGTATTACCAGTGATTTAGTGTAAAAGAACCAGAATACTAACCAGACAGTATGTAACATGTTCTCTGATTTTTTTTTCACTTGATAGAAATCCATTTGCAAGGGATATCCTAGGATGCTCAGCACTAAATACTATTGTAGCTGCATACGTTACGTCTGCTCGCTGCGACATGGTAATTTTTGTTCTGCGCGGCAAAGATTTTTTTCTGAAGGACATTTTGCAATTGGCCGCAGATGGCCTTGACTGGGCCACCAGATGAATGGGCGAGCTGAACACCCTTAACCCTTTAAAAATAACCCCACGTGTGCACGGACCTCGACTCAGGGCGCTACTGGGGAATTCCGCCAAAAGGCCGTGTACGACCTCGCTGCCGAGGATGTTGGTACTTGACGGATTGGAATGATAAGCGATCTGGTTGGCCTTCAAAGTGGCGAGAGTGATAGGGTCGTTGAGGACTTTCCTTGGCCGACGGGTCCTACGTACGCGGTGGAGGTGTTTCCTGAGGGGGTACGTCCCCACCTTGGATGCAGTCACCACAAGACACAACCCGGGTTGGAGAAGTACTTCATCGATGCCTGTTTCATGAATTGAGCTATTGTAGAGAGCCGTAAATCTATATGGAGGTCTAGAGGAGGAGGTACCACGGGACACTCGTCGCGTTGCGCATGAATCTATTTTAGAGAGCCTGCAAGCGGTGAATGAGGGCGGGATTTACCTGTGCTAATGCGACCCTAGCGTATGTCATAATTGAGTGGATGCAGGTCGTGTACATCACCTTATTACGAAGGGAGAGTTTACTATGGTTGTTGAGAAGGTGGCGGAGGCGGCTCCTTACAAAGTGGACGCGATCGCGGACGGTTTTCACGTGTGTTTTAAATGACAGCTTCCTATCGAACGTAACTCCTAGAGATATTTGACCGTATTATGGTACATATACCAACAAACATTGATTTATGTAAGTCTATCCCAGGCACAGATTTACCCCAAGTTTCTCATTCAACATGTCTATCATAAAAATTTGAGAAATTACACCGTGTGATAGCAGAGAGAAATTCAATTTACTCCAAATATAAATCCCTATTACAAATAATGTGACCAAATATAGAAACTGACCATGTATAGTATTCCAAGTTTCATTAAATAGAATGAATCCTAGAAGCAAGTGATCTTTCCACTTCGACAGCATGGTATTAGCAGGATGCAGCTCAAAGATGCTGGATATGACTTTAACCTCCTCATCGCTGTTTACGATAGCCAGATGTCCTCCTTCAGCCAGGCAGATCTTGTAGGCATCTGGCCAGGTTTGAGGTTGCAGATGGAATTTGTAGCATCGGCCTGGTGTTTCGTAATATTTATATTCTGAAAAGTAGTAATTATATTACGGACACAATATTGTTGTATTTGTTTGTACACAATTTGTTGTAATGTAAAGTCCCTGATCATCATGCATTGATCGCAGCTGGTCATAACTACAAGACGAATCTAAGAATATAAATTCAAATAACCTTTCTCTTTCCTATACTTTTTGACGACATCAAAAGTTATACCTAAGTGCACAATTACCTGTACATTGTATTATGATTGTAAACGGAGTTTAGTAAGAACAATTTTTTTTTTCAGATTTATGCTCAGTGCCTATTTATTTTACTTTTTTTTACATAAAAGAGTAAGTGCGCGTTTCACTTCCATCTCACGTGATGGAAAGTGATGATGAGGTCGATGATGGAGGATGCGCACCTAAAAATGCCTATTCACTTACGCCTTGAAAAGGCCTAAGTCATAACGTTCAGGGAATAAGTCTGCAGGCAGGGAATGTCACTCCACAGCCTTTCGCCAAATAAATGTGGAGAATCCTTGGAATATCTTCAATATAGGGGTGGAACCCCGGCTTAAGTCTGGTCCCTTATAATGGAAAGGGGAATTAGATAATGCATTGCCATTTACATTCTCCTTGATATATCTAGAATACCGGTAAGCAGACAACTTTATGGCGATACCACAACATCAGTATGATTATCTCTTCTTTCTAATTGTAGCTTTCGTCAGAAAGTTATCTACTTTGCTGCCTAGTGTTGACGTTTTGATAGCGCTGCCGCTGCCCACTTATATTCTACAGAATTCGCATTGTGCTTTTCATTAAACGTGATAATAAAATTATAGTCTGCGTTGCGTGCATAGTGTATATACTGTTGAGTTAAGCAAATTAATTAGTCATATAAAATAGGTCGCCTAGATTAATTCGTTTCTAATCATGTCAGAAGCACAATCATATTTACACAACACAAAAGCTACTTCCAGTTAGACAAGACCCATGTTTTCTACAAACAAAACCAGTAGATAACAATTCTTTTCGGTCTAGGAAACTTCGCCGTTTCAATAACGAACACTCTTAAATCCAAACGTCAAGCAAGTTCTTGTATCATTCAATTAACAATCCCATCACATATATCAAAATATTAGTGTAACCGTCTATGACTACCTATGACATTTTACTAATTTTGCAGTGTCCATTTTTTTGTTGTTACCTTAGACGATTACAGTTAGCCTGATATATGCCATTACTTGGCAAAGGCCTCCCCCTGATCCTTTTTCGCATCCCGATCCTGAGCTAGACGATTAAATAGGAAATTAAACTATTTGTCCGGATTTAAATCGCGTATATTTGTTTTTCAAACAAACCGACGTTTCGTGCCCTTTACAGGTCCCTTGGTCACGATTGACTGAGGTGGTACAGTCTTCAACCAGTTATGTCTAATAGTTATTAATTAAATACCTTATTTTTAATTTTACAAAGAAAACATTCCAATTTACGCTACATTAAGTTTTACAAATTATTTTATTGAATGAATTTTTATTAAGTTTAATTTATTATTAATTATTAATAGAAATTATAATAAACTAAAACATATTAATTAGTACTGCAGTCTTATGTCTGTTTGGGATTTTTCATTAGAGGAAATACTGGATCCCAAACTGGTGGTACGGAGAAACTATCTTTCCTGTTGAAATTAGGATATTTTTTAATTTCAATGGCCTCTCGCAGCATCCTGGGTAGATAACGGACTTCTTTTGCAAGGATCTGGGGTTTGTCAAACTTCATTGAATGTGTAGGTTTATCCATGACATGCTCGCAGACTACAGACTTGTTTACGCGACGGTGTTTGACATCAGCTATATGTTCTTTGACGCGGGTACAAATACTTCGCTTTGTTTGTCCAATATAAGAGAGACCGCACTCACAGTCAAGCCTGTAAACTCCTGCATCCTATAAAGGGCCCGAAACGTCTGTTTGTTTGAAAAAACAAATATACGCGATTTAAATCCGGAAAAATAGTTTAATTTCCTATGTGTAACAATCGCGAAAACCTAAGAACTCGATATAGACGGTTAAATGTTTTATAAAAGTGCAGAAACTTATACAAAAAAGTATTTACCAAAATCCACACTTTCACAGTCACAAATAATTTATAATCAGTTGGTTGCAGTGTATAAGGTCAATGACACCCGAAAGAAGAGGAACAATTCATTTACTTTTCGACTACATTCTCAAATTTTAATAAGCATTGTGCTCCTGTCGCATTAACTAAATGGTAACATGGTTTAATTCACCAGATTTAGAGGCTGGTCTTTCACCTTGTTTTACCTTAGAATCACTGATACTATTTCTATATCCAAGACAAAGCTTCTCCTAGCTTTCACATCACCACCACCATTATCGCCATCAACCCATTTGTACGTGCCACTGCTGAGCACGGGTCTCCTCCAGGTGGAGGTTTTAGGCTATAGTCCGCTACGCTGGCCTAATGCCGGTTGGGGACTTCACACGTATACCGAGGGTTGTAAACCCTTCTACGAGGAGCAGGTTTCACCACAATGTTTTTTTAGAGCTTGTGATAAATTTCAAATTCAATTACGCACATGAATTTCGGGAACCTCAGAGAGGCGAACCCGGATTCAAACCTTGTCTAAGAGGTGGTAGGTGAATATCATCATAATAAAATAGCATCGTTTTACATAGTAGTACCCAAATATGTTTTCGGAGTCACTTTACAATAGATGCTTATAGATTCTTGGCAAAGATAATTTGATAAACGATTACAGATAAATATACTAACCAGGATCATTAGTTCCGCATTCACTCTTAATATTATGAATCTCCTTATTATACTTTCTATAGCAAATGAAGATATAAGGTTGGTTGCAATCCACAGCGTCATTTGTACCAGAAGGAAAAAGAACTGTGCAAGGGTGCGGTATCTTTCGAGAACACATCTGAGAACTGCTAAGTTCAACCGGCATCTTCCACAGGGGAGTACCTGTAATACAATATTTTGTGTGTTATTCTATCGTATCTAGTCGCACTCCCGTTTTATTATTTAAAGACTTTGGATGCATTGCTTGGCTGCCTGATGCATTAGCAATATCATATTTTGCTACCTTCCAAATAAAGGAATACAAGAACGCCAGTGATGTAGAAACACAGATAAAAAGGAACTCTTTTAATTTTGAGTTGACACAGGCTGTCACCCAAAACCATTAGACAAATTCAACGTCTTTACTTGTAGTCAACGGAAATGTGATGCAAAAAATATATACCTACCATCAATAGAGGTAAAATCACCCTTGGAGAACCAAGAGTGAATGCCGGTGTAGACGCCACAATTGACACCAACGGCATCTTTGCTTATGAATAACATGGCGTTCAGCATCAGGTCATCCGACGGAGACGCAAGGTCAGCACCTAACGAAGTCATCATTTTCGTATTGAGCACACGTATACGTTTTTTATGCATCTCGAGAGAATCGACTTTACAAATCACAGAAGACGCTTGATTTTGTACGCAAACGATTACAAGTATTTTGTTACTTTGTATAAATTGTCTATAGAAATGTATGATTTATATTCCTCGTGGTTGTAGGCATTCTTCTCAGAGGAAGCAGATTGATAATGTACTGCTATTGATATGCTTACCTTCGAGCTGGCACCGTGTACGGGCGTCACGCCAGTCTGTTGGTACGCGATGCATCTTCATCCAGCCCCCTATGGTCGCCACGTATTTGTAATCAGGTCGAAATTTTGGATGTACCCTATCCAATTCTCCTGCATCTGCAATAATTCTCATTGTGTTAACAAATTATTTATAACATTACATACATACGTATTATCACGCCTTTCTCCCACTGGGGCAGGCAAACACATTGACAAACATCCTTCGCTTCTTCTACTGTTATCAGTCTCTTCTTACATGCTGTTTTATTTTTAATACTTATAACCCAGTCTATTTTAAGGACACCCTAATCTGATCAAGATAAGTACGCCAAGGTATACCTCTCCCCGCGTCTCCATCCACATTCGCTCTATAAATTTGTACAGTTAATCTACCGACATTCATTCTGTTGTGTTCATGTAATGTGTTTCCTGTTGGCGATTTTGTAGATATAATTTTACTAGATTATATACGTACATTTTGTCTAATAGTTATTTATGTGACACAAAATCAAACGCTTTAGGAAATATGACGAGAAGTAAAAAACAGTACAAACAGTAATCATTACAGAAATTGTGCAATGATACTTTTAGATCACAGTTAAGCTATTTCAATAAAAGAACATAAAATGTAAATGTAAAATGTAAAATTTAAACTTACCGATAATAACCACAAGAAACACTAACAAGAACAGTCGCAACATTGTTGTGCAAAAACGATGCGACCGAATTTTTGCGAGTAAATGATAAATAACTCTCAATGAACATCTATTTATATCATACCTAATTGAACAATTAATAAAACACATAAAACAAATTTAAAGCAATTTAATACTTGCTGGTGCCAGACTTATATACTTTGACTGCGTATAATAAGTAGTTCGCGTAGCCTAATGTACTATACTAATAATACTATACTAATAATAATTTTCATTAAAACATCGATGTGAAAAGGTAACATAAATAAAATAAAATATGTATCTGCTCCAAGGTCGTGACGCTCCGCATCTAAAATCTGCCGTGTCTGAATTGGCTCCTCAGATTCTAGGGTTCTAGCTACTTTCGTCGATTGAGCTCTGCTACAGCTATGCTTGAACAGATTTACGCTTGCGAGGCAAAGCGGCATCGTGAAACGCCTCTCATGTACTCATTGTAAACCTACGTCTCCTTTCTGACTGCCGTTCAGCTTTCAAAACACATGGTCTTTGAGACTCTTCAGGCGTCTCTTCAGTGAGGATGCGTGAACCTCCGTATCTAAAATCTGACGGGCCAGAGTCTGCTTCACGGTCTCGGCAACCCTTTGAGCTTCGTGACACTCGGCGTCTACATTTTGCCGTGTCTGAATTTGCTCCTCAGATTCTTGGGTTCTAGCTACTTTCGCCACTCGAGCTCTGCTTTAGCTACGCGCTAAATCAGTTTTACGCTGGTGAGGCATATCAGAAGCGAAAATAATAAGTACCTAACAAATGGTTCGGTAAGTATATCTAGCTACCTAATTATGATATAGAAAACTTTTAGTTTCGCTACTTAATTGGTAGAGTACCTGGGTCTAGTACGAATCCACCCGGATCGAATGAATTTTTTTTTAAGTGTTTGATCTTTGATTATAATCATTATAACTAAGTAGTGGAATAATTTCACAAAAAAAATGATTGAATGTCATGGTAGTAGAACATCGTGACATTCAACAAACTTAAAAATACTTATATGGCCAGGCTAAATAAGTAAGTCAGTCGGTAGAGCATTATGGGTATTTATTACATATAAATAAACGGGACACAGAGATATTACACAGATACCACGACGTACTTATTATAGCACATGAAAGACTTCAAACTCGAACCAGTGTTAGACGCGGACTCTTGGATACTAATTGGAGCGCGCGGGGATGCGGGTCGGTAATCACGCATAAAACGGAAGTTATCGGAAGTCCGTTCGTTATTACCATACTTGGTCATTAAAAAGTGATATTTTGGCAAAACAGGGTCGACGGCGAGAAGCGCCATCTACATTCGCAAAGACTAATCTACTTCCTCGAGGATGGGTCGTCGCGATATTGGGTAGGATGCTTTCGAGTACGCTTCGGGCGCACTAGATGGGGTTGACACGCTATACTTATTTATCTTGTAAAAATCCACAAAATTTCTTACTTTTACCTCTACTTATAATTTAAACAAACAACCTGTAGGACAACTAGAACGATAACTAAAAATAATTAGAAACTAATTGAATTCTTCGTACCACCAAATTTTAATAACTTCTCCTAGGTCCCATCTATTTCTATACCAAAACTCATCAAGTTTGGTTCAGCCGTTTAGGCGTGAAAATGTAACAGACAAAGGTACTTTCGCATTTATAATATTAAGTAGAATGAACTATAAATTTTTCGTAGTCATAAGTATGTAAATACATTGTTGTACCATAAAACAGATTATAAATTTTAACAAAAAATAGAGTCAGTATACAAAGGCGAGTTTATCAGCTAAAGGGATTTCTTTAACTAATCTTAATTATTTTATTATTTATCTAAGGCTGTGAATGCCTGGAATAATTACAATGCACGTTTTGGTCAATATGTCAAACGGGGGTTACATCGCTACACTACAACATCGATGCAAACGCGTGACCGCGTCGATACAGTCGTTTATGTTGAATAATCATGTACGTAAAATCTGTATAGGTTTATGCACAATATTTTGTTTTGTTAATTGTAAATTTAAAAGTGAAATTAATAAATACAATAAATAAATAAATTAGTTAAGTAAATGTAGACGATTAGCGACTGTATCGCTACATCATCGCGTTTGCATCGCGTTTGCGTCGCTGTTAAAAGTCACCGTGTGTAACCTCTCTAAAGAAAGCTCATTGATACAACGTAACCAAACTCACATCACTTGCAATTTTCACCATAAAACGTTTTTACATTAGTCGATTCAGCATTTTATATTCTTTTGTTGTGAAGTATTTAATAGTTTTCATCGTTGCTCCACTCGCACAATGGCCTAACATATTGTAAGGAAGATTATACATAGACCAAATTTGAAGAAAAAACATTTAAGACTCGAGGGTTGTTCAGACATGTTATCCGCTCACGCGATGCGCTCATCCTACCGCAAAATGGCGGCTATTTGGTTTCGCAAATTAGAAAAGGATTCAGTTTAAATACAAGTTTTTATAAATAAAAATTATTATTCTGCATTGCTTGATAAATACCTTCCGTACTACAACAAAAACATCTCAAATAAAATGCAGTAATACACCGCAAATCCTGCACTTAAAAAGCACTAATGAAATTTTTGGTGTACTTGGGTAAATATGACAATATTCCGTTTGAGTGGTTCTAACGTTTACCATGAAATTACTCCTTAAAGTATAGTTTATAAACATCTATATTCAGGGTAAACTAAAAAAACGCTATTTACGGTATGTTTTCAATAAATAAACACCGAAATCACCAGCCCAAACAATAACACACACGATTGTCGTGACGTATTTTTTAAGTTGTTTATTTTTTTTAAATGACAGACTCGGGCATTAAAAACTTTATGGTTTGCTAGAGTAGTTACCGAAATAGCAATTA